GACAATTTAAGATCTACTTAATAATGCATTTTTATAAAAACAAATGTTGTTTGAAAATGAATAAACAAGATAAAAAACTCAATTTCCATTTCATTGCTTAATACAACCAAACTAGAGAAATGATTCTCAAAAGATTTCTCTATTGGATTCTCAGTGCTACCAAACAGTGAAATCAATTCTCTTTTTCCAACTTAATTCTCTTTCTCTGTATTTCCATTATTTGCTGCAATTTCATTTCTCTATACCAAACGGCTCCTTAGATTCTTCATTCTGTTAGGTTAAAGTTTCAAATCATGTCTATATAAAAGTAATTTATAAGTATATTAGAATGTGTGTGGATTATCGTTCTAGAAAATAATTAAAATATAATTTATTTAATATTCTTTTGTGCTTATGGGTCGTCATTCTGAAACATTTTAATTAAAACAAGTAACTTAAACCTCAATATTCAAAAATCAATGTTCATTGTTGGATATAATTTGTTGCCTTTTTGTCTATAATATAAAAGTAAATTGGTATATATTTTATTTATAAAACTTGAAAGGTCTACTTATATATTAAACTACCGTTTGAAAAGTTATGATTAGAATTTTGTTATATAACTATTTTTAATATTTTATAGATTAGGTTAGTTGTGAAACTAAATATGAGTGGATCATGTAATTTTTTTTCTTTATGTCGTTCTCATCTTTTGATCTCACATAGGGTGTAAGTGAACCGAGCTACTTGTGAACTATTCGGAATCAACTCGTTAAAAACTCGAGCTCGAGCTCGAGTTAAACGATCCCGAACCGAGCTTGAGCTTTACTTGGGCTCATTTATTAAACGGGCTCAAGCCCAAGTTTTAATTACCGAGCTTGACTAGGCTCGCGAGCTTAAATGGACCTATATATATTATAATATAAATATATTTTTCACTTTATATATTAATTTCTTTGAAATCAAAGAACGTGCCTTCATTATTCATTCTCTTGTTTCCATTTCAGTTTCCGACTTTCCGCATACTTCACATGCACACCATCTAGGGCTTTGAGTATTCAATGATTGATTTCATTACGTCTTCGACATTAAATTTTGTAGACATTAAATCAATGGAATCTATCTTGTTAACTTCTAATGACGTAGTATTCTCTAAAATGTATGATAAATGATTAAACGAGCTTGAGCCAAGCCTAAGCTCGTTTAGGCTCGCCTGACAAATGAGCCGAGCCGAGCTATGCTCAAGCATGTTATTTTTACAATAAGCCGAGTTTGAACTTTGAAACTAGGCTCAAAACGAGCCGAGCTCGAGCTCGAGCCTAGATGAATTCAAATGAGTTGGAGTCGGGCTTGGGTATGTTCAAGCTTGGTTTGGCTCATTTACACCATTCTCACATTTCTATCCTGGACTAGAGTAGTGGTCTAGGAGTGAAGTTTGTCCTTTTTAGGAGCGTGTTTGGGCTAGTTGAGCACAGGTTTCAGTTTTGAACTGTTTTCTCCATCTCTACCCAAACAGAAGTCAAAAAAGCTTAAATTAAAACATGAGAAATCGTGATTTATGAGTGTTGAAAGACCAAAAGAAAATGACCATATCTCATGGTGTTTGATGAGTGATTTGTTAAAATACATTGATTGAAACGCAAACCTTGTTACATACATACATACATACATACATGCTGCTTAATAAAACAAACATTGATTCGAAACCACTATACAATTACATACCAATCATATACATTGATTCATTAATCCTTGTTAAGTGTAGCAAGAATAAAGTCTGTTAACCCAGAATTATGGAGCTCACTTACTACTTAAATAGATATTGACACGGCCTCCCTCTGATAACCAATAATAAAAACAATCCCGAATCAAGAAACCAATCTTAACAACAACCTCAGTCACAGGTCACAACCCGTGCCATTTCGATCCGGGTTACGATATTGATATTGAGCAAGTTCATTGTTGAGCAACCTCTCTGAGTCGGCCACCCTCTTACCAAAACCAAACTCACTGCTGCTTGCTTTTGCTTTTGGTTTTGCTTTTGGAATGGGAATGGAATTCTGATGCTGCCCTCCTCCTAAAAGCTTCTTGATCATGTCATCTAACTCTGCTGCCCGTTTCTGTAAGTTGCTTTTATCCGCCTGCAATGCATTATGAATTATGAATTATGAATTATGAATTATGAATTATGAATTATGAATTATGCATCATCAAAAATTCAAATGCTATAACTATAAAGAAAGGAAATAGAAATAGAAATAGAAATAGTACCTTGAGCATTTCGTTTTGTGCTGTCAGCAACTGGTCCCGCCCTTGCAACTGTACCACACTCATCTTACCAGCAAGTATCTCTGCTTCTTTCCTATCTATCTCCGAAATGCATCTGTAAAAATAAATAACTTTATCCATTTTTTTTTCTTTTTTTGCCTTTATAGAATGAAAACTATGTTTAAAAATGGAACAAACTTTCCTTCATTTGTTTTTTACATTGCAGCATAGTATTTTAAAAATCTATCCAGCTATAGGCTATAGCAATGTAAACCAACTTTTTTTTCTACTATAATTGGATAAACTTTTCAAACTATAATCTCCATGTCCTAATAACAAAAAATTAAAATTATAATAATTGGCTACATTTTCAAAGTATGATTAATGTCACAATAAGGAAAAAAAGTTTCAAGTAGAAGGTTGTAATAAAAAGAAAATCAAATATGCTATGATACACAAATAAATGAAACTAGCTTTTACTACAAAAACAATAACACGCACCTGTCTCTTTCTTCATGTAAATCATTAATTTGTCGCTTGAGTTTCCGAATCTCTTGCTCCTGATTCAATTATTAAACATTATTATATTATATTATTAAATTCAATTTCCAGCACTCACACTCACAAACTAATTGACTGACCATGCCTATGAACTCCTGCGTTTGCTGAGCAGCATTCTCAATCAGTTTTTGAAGCTGCTTTTGGTTTATCAAGTTCTACATCATTCACACCAACACACACACACACACATATTATATTATATTACTCAAAATTCAAAATTAACTAACTCAAAACTTACTGCATATTTAGTCATGTCTAGTTTTACCCCAAGCAGATCCCTGATCACATCATGTGTCATACTCTCTGCTGTCGCCAATTTAGTGTTTAGCATACATATCTGTTAACATAACATAGCTTACATCATCATTCATAGATGCAACAGTGTGTGTAAGTGTAAGAGAATCTATATGATGATAACCTCTTTTTGTCGACTTGATGCTACTGATTCTAGGTCATGTAGACGAGCCTTGGCCAATGACAATTCCTGATCCTTCTCTGTGTTCATCTGTTGGACTAAATTCCCAATACATCTGAATGGTGAACTACCCCTTCCTCTCACCAACCTTTTTTCCAATAACTCTGCTTCTAAGCTACTAGACTTTGATGGACCTGTCTTCATTAAACTAACCATTGCTTCC